CTATGTGCACACCCAGAAAATTGAAACTGGAGACCCTTTCCACACACTCCCCGTTGATGCTGACAGGCTGCAGCTCGGACTTCCTCCTTCTGAAGTCAACTACCAGTTCTTTTGTCTTGTTGGTATTGAGGTCCAGGTTGTTGTCTACACACCAATCTGACATCCTCTGAACTTCAGCTCTGTATGCCGTCTTATCTCCCCCCGAGATGAGCCCTACCACGGTGGTATCATCTGCAAACTTGATGACTGTGTTGTCTGGGTGGGTACTAACACAGTCATGTGTGTACAGAGTGTACAGTAGGGGACTCGGGGATCAGTGACTGAGCAACTGCTGCAAATCACCAAAATGATCCTAACTTATAAATAACCTCAATGCAGTGCATTTACACTTAGAACTTGTCAGTGTAAAAAAAACCAAAACCCTGTAACAACACATTTAATCCCTGAGATATCTTTATATAAGAAAAAAAAAACAGTTCTGGTAGCTTGCTGCCCAGAAAGTTTATTTATTTTTACTGTGGACCCCTTGGGAAAGGAAATGACATTTCTATAGTAGATAGAGGGGTAAAAAGACAAACCAGGAACTTGTTGGTCATTTAATTGTTTATTTATTACTTAATTAGTTTGGTTTAGTGTAAATACCTGCGGGGGAGGTGTTTATCAATAGCAGAAGCTGAAAAAACTTCAGAAAATACAGCTAAAATTCACAAAATTGTCTCTCCACATTTTACAGAACTCACCAGTGGACCCGATGGAAGTCTTTACCGGGGCGATTCTGTCCCCAGGGCCTTATGTTTGACACCCTTGAGATGCACGTGAAAATAGTAGCAACGGTTTATTAAAGTATGAACTTCAAGCACAGAGCTACTACAAAATCAAACAAATGTTTTTAACTCCGTTTAAGGACAGAGAAGCATGTTGATATATATATTTTTAAATCCCTGCAGCTGTGGAGGTTACCACACAGCTGTCAGGCCTGCATTTAACTTTGAAAGAAACACGGAAAGAGTAAGATAAACACGCTGTAAGATGCAGGCGGTATAAAGTACCGGTCACGATTCCTCCATTTTATTCGCACTAATTATTGTTGTTGTTGTTGTTGTTGTTTTTAAGCTTTTCATTCATATCCAGCCAGAATCAGAGTGGCACTGACATCTGTCGGTGAAACATCTGCACAAGTCAGCTCCGCGCGCTGCTGTGTCAAACATGTTGTTCCCTTTAAAATGTGTTTGTTAGGGGTTTGTTTTTGTTGCTGTTGCCTTTTTCTCGAAGAAGTGTGAAAGAACAACGCTTCAGAAAACCGAACAGTGCCTTGAGATTTACAAATTCACGGACAGCAGCTTCCGGGGCTGTGCGACCAAAGAAGCTACAGGAAGTATAGTTTTTACCGCACTTATCCTCAGAAATGAAACGGCGGAGGCGTTTCTTTTCTCTGTAGATTTAATACCGAGGCGAAAAGGACCGCGGGAGGTCTCAGTTTCCTCTTCTGGGGAGGGTGGGGTTAAATACAGTGTGACATAACACCTGTAAGCAGTCCTCGCTGTTGCACGCCTTCTAATTTTTTGTGAACATGTGTGTGCCCTGCCTCTCTTCTTTTTTTTTTACGGCCAAACCTACTTCCTGGTGGATGAGGCAGCTCCTCAGTGTTGTCGAGGCTAAAGGGAAGGTGGAGGCGGCTGTAGACGGTGTGCAGAAGCGATACAGCAGTTTTTTTTTTTCCCGTTCCCTTTTTTTGTTGTTTTTTTTTTTTTTTTTTTTTTAGGTTTTTGGGGTTTTGCGGGGAAAAAACCCCCCAAAACAAAACATGGGAAGCACGGTGATGGAGTCCAGCAAGGGGAGCTCAAAGAAAATACCAAAGAAGAGGAGAAGTCTGCGGATTAACATGCCAGTAAGTCGGTGAAGTATCAAATAATTTGGCTTCTTACTGAGACTCTATGGTGGGGTGGGTGGGGTAAAAGGCTGTAACTTTGAGTGGGCTTTAGCCGATTTCGGTGCATCGCAGTCTGCGAGCGCACGCGACGCATAAGAGCGTGCGTGACTGACAGTTGTCTCTGAGTCAGGACTCGGTTAATCTGTCCCAATGGCATGTAAACGCTCCCTATAAACACTCAGAAACGTGTTTTGCCTCGTTGCATTGAGCATGTGCAGCAGTTCTACCTTTATTGTGATTGTAGCCACCTCCCATGTTAGGGCTGCAACTATTGTTTACATATCATGTTTACAAAAATTTGTTATTATGCTAATAATAATTGTGGGGAAAGAAAAATCCCAACACAGAGTCCCTGGTGAGATCCTGTTTTTCTAATGCAAACCCAACATTATTCGGTCTACTCTGGCACAAAAACAGGCGATGACACTGCTGATCTAATACGGCCCTGATTTACAGTTTTCTCTGTTTATTAAACTGGGTAATAACTATTTGCAATTGTGTAATCATTTTCTGCACAAGCTCCACAAAGCCTAGTTGTTATTGCGGGAGGCTTTATAGCTTTATTGTACCTCATGTTTCAAAAAAATTTTGGTCACTCTGTCCTGACAACTGCTTCTCTCCTGGTAGCATTTGTTTTTGCATGGATCCACTATCAGATCCAGTCTGCTGCATAATTTGCTCAAGAATAACAAATGGACAAGTGCAAAATTTCAGCTTTATAGGCTGGAAAAACCTTCCCAGTGTGGCGTAAACCTTATGAATGCAGCTCTGTTTCTGTGGTTAATGCTCAAGTGTTAGATGTTGGAGCTTTCCATCGCTATGTGAACTTCCCCATTCTAAAAAAATCATGGTGGAAAGTCTATTACAGCTGCATAAAAAATAAAATAACAGTACAGCTCTGCAAACTCGCCTAGTTACGTCTGTGCAGTTAAAACTGCCTTTCTGCAGCAACATGCATGGCATCATCGGCCTGAAGTGTAATGTCAAAACCAGCCCACAGTATGGGGAAGAAGAGTTTTGCCTTTCATTGTCCTGCAGAAGTTTCCGCAGTGGCAACACATGTTTACCTTCTTTTTGAATGTCAGGCTAAGAGTCAAAAGCAGGTGAGGTTAACCTATTTTCACGTAAAAGCGGACAAAAGGACATAAAGTGTCAGTTTTATGTTTCTGTTGTGTTTCCGGGTGAAGTTTGCTTTATCCCTGATTCTCAGATCTCTCTTTATGTGCAGGATTTCGGGGCGTTTAATGCCCCTCAAGTGGAGACGAGTGGCTCAACCAAAAGCGGAGCCCATACGGTACATTTTGAAAGATTTTTGTGAAATGATTCATTCACCTGCCAACTGTTCTTTTTGTTTTCCTGAGCTTGCTTTTCTTGCCATGCATCTATCTGCTCATTAAATGTGAATTTGCAAGAGCAAAATATTAGACAAGGTCATCCTCTCCAATTCTGCCAACCCGCACTGGCTTACAGTAACATTACTCCCACAGTGTCCAGGCATAGCACCAGCACATACAGGAAATTGATTTTTCTAAAAGAAAGCAGTCTCTTCCTACTGTCTCCTCCAGTTGATTTGAATAGGAACCAACTAACCATCCACTGTTACCTCATATCAGCCAAGATGCATATTATCTCAGTAATATTTGCGTGGTGCAGGTAAAAACCTGCATCGCCTTGTGTTTTGTAGGAGCAGATCTGTATCCACGCTAAACCCTGATAGCTGGTTCACTTGCCTTAACAGGCTCTTGCACAATGAAAGGGTGAGATTTGTTGGCAAACAACAAAGATGGGTGTGTGCTCTCAGATAGTTAGGGGATTGGTTTGAATAAAAATGTGTTTGTGGAGCAGGACCAGCCCTTAGCATACGGCAAAACGGAGCTTCTTCTTGATTTCTTCTTCTTTTTGAGTTCTAGTATTAATATCAGACATCTTTTTTATGTCCCATTAGACCCCGGTGTTTATTTTCTTTTTCTCTCCACAACATGCAGTTTATCTGTTTTGGTGGGAGTAATTATTCTCCACAGACTGTTACTGCAACACCCCTGTTGCATTTAACTGTTTTCAGTAATAACAGCCCCTGAGCCGGAGATCCCTGCATAATCAAAAGCTTCACTGTATGGTGAGCCCACAAACGGTTAAAAGATTTGTTGTTGGCACATCCAGAGCAGGCAGCCGTCAGCGGTGGGAGGAGGCCCTCTCTGTCTCCAGCTAGATTGGCTGCCATCTCTCGTGTTTTGTTTTGGTATGGGCACAGCAAAGAGAGAAGGATTTCTCCATCTGTTTACACGATATCGACCTTGCAAAGGCACACTCATAAACACAGAAGGCCCAACTGAAAAATATTATTACCGCAGTTTTAAGTAAAAGGAGTGCTGATCGTCTGATAGTGGATGTTATGGTGTCCTTACTGATTTGTCATATCACGTGGCGCTCCTCCGAACTGCATACCATGGCAACATAACAGAAAGACAGGTTTTGCACGATAAGGCACAGTTCTTTGTAGAAAAACAAATATCTATGCGCTCATGCATCACTTGTTTTTTTTTCCTGGTTGTTAGAATGTGTACTGATCAGTATTTTTAGTCTTTATAGTGTCTTTTACCACAACTGTAGTGTGATTGCACATGTGCCTTATTGCACCTTGCATATGAAACTTCTCATACTGCTCTTTAAGAGACACCATTAACTGTCACAAAGCGACCAACTATACAAAACTTGTTTTGTTTTTTTTTAAAAAAGGAGAAGTGACCAAAGAAGTGCAATCAGCAGCTGTCATTTCACAATAAATCTCTTCACTACTTTTGCTTTTTTCAGTACAGCCCCTTGCTTTGCACTGCACTTGCTGTCTCTCATAACAGTGGCTACACGCTTAAACGTAAACCGTGCAATTGCAAATGTGCATAAATAAATAAATCTGCTTTCTTATTATCTCTCAGGGAGAGCGACTCATTCGTTCAGCCAGCCCCATCAAAGGAGGTTCTGCCAAGAGCCCGGACGTCACCACACTGCCTCCGTGTCCCCAGTCTGCTCCAGTTCAATCAAAGCCAAATTCAAGTTCTCCCAAAAGTATCTTCCCTTATCCCTCCCATCAGAACTCCCCTAAGTCCCCTCGTCGACTGAGCTTCAGCGGTATCTTCCGGTCGTCCGGTTCTCCCTCTTCGAGCATCAAACTCTTTTCCAGAACCAGGAGAGGTAAGTAGAAATGCAAACACTGCACTGCCTGCAACCTGCTTGTTGCACTGCAGTGTTCATGAATCCATTGTTGGAATCTTTGTTTTAATAGTTTTAAGCATGCATGCAAAAAACTTGTGCAAATATTTGAAGTCCTCTTTTAAAGCAGAGTTCTAAGAGGAAGACGCTTGTAAAGGAAGTAAGACACAATAGATGAAACTGTCATTTCAAAGATTATTTGGTTTTCCTGCTGTACGTAGATGAGGTAAAGCCCCCACACAGGAACCAAGGCGTCTGCATTTTCAGTTCATCAGTTCAGATATCAGATATCTGACAATGTCGGTTCACCTCAGGACAAAGTTCAATCAGGTGAGGTGCAGAGAACAATATTTATTTTGTCACACCAGAGAACGGCACACAAAACAGTGCGCTCCTTTTGATACCCGACTGGTTTCAGAGAACCTTTAATTCTCACAATTGCAGATCTAGTCTCTCTCCTATAGATAAATAAGAAATAAACCAAAATAACAAGAAATTTAAAAAGAAAAACACCTGTATAAATTAGACACTCATTCACCGAACCACTCCCACTACCTCTCCCTGTATCTCCTTTTATCAGCTTCCATATTTTGTAGCAATAAGGAAGTGGAGTTTTTGGTTTTCTCTGAGTAGAAAGAGAAAAAGTAACTTCTTTGTTTTGTGCCGCTCTGCAGCCAACAAGGTCACGAGTTTTGTCAGACAGATGGCCGTCGCTTGAGCGCAGACAGACATTCTTCATAATCTCCTCTCAGATGTTAACAACTTTCTCTAGGAAAAGGAAATGGTTGGCTTTGTTTATTATCAGAATTAAGTTATCATCTCTCTCTCCCCCCCCACCAGCATTAAGCCGTGCAGGCAGTTTGTTATTAGGTTTCAAGCTCGGCATCCTTGGAGTTTGGAGTCCAGCCACAGTACGCGCATTAAAAAACTCACGAGCTGCATAATGGTAATACTGGTATGCACAAATTAGTAGAAATGAGACTGGGCAGAACAAGGTCTCATTTTATGAAGACCAGATTTAACTGGCACGTCTTCAGCTCTCGTGTCTCCATTTTTTTTGGTAGTTGGTCATTACATAAATTAAAAAAACCAACAAAAAACCCACCCTGCCTACATGGAAACAGCCCTGCTGGAAGCAAGCATCAAACAGCTAAAAGGATGAGTCATTGATTTTTTGGCTTGTGCAAGTACCCATTCTTCTCTGTTTCCTCGCAAAGGGTCAGTTTGGCAGAGCTGCTGGAATAGCTCTGTTAGAGCCCAGACTGTAAAAGCCAGTGTGCTCCGTTTCCTCTGGAGATTGTTATGGATAGTAACGGGGACCAAAACACACCCCAGCTGCTCCATCCCTCCCATCCCAGTTGCTGGTGATTAGTAGTGTAAGATGTGGTCTGAGGCAAAGCACGCTTCCTGCTCACTAATGATGTGGCTTTAGATTATTGGTGACTAATAGCGACAGAGTATTTATAACTAAATATAAAGTCACTGAGTGGGCACTTGATCTGTTCACTTTTTTTTTTTGAGTCAGATGTTTTTGTAGTAACCCCAGTTTTGCCACAAGGGTGCACTGAAGGCCTAGTTTGTCTTGATTTGACTTTCAAACTAGTTCTAATGAACCTTTGTGGTCACCTCTTTTATTAACATATTTGCAAGGAAACGAGTATTTTTGCAGACGTTTGTGTGGTCTCGATCATTTACATATATCATTCATCAGGATCCAGGTTTTCATGTTTAGGTGCACTTGCTGCAAATATGACTAGAATGCTTCCTCTTTCCCCGCTGGTCTAAATATGTGTTTTCACGTCGCCTGGACATTGTCAGTCTCTCGCTGCTCAAGGCAAGTGTAGCGCTTTCATAACCTTATCTGGAAGTGACCAGACTCTCAGGAGCTCCTCACACAGCCATGCAGAGGTTTTTTTTTTCCACCCCTCTCACTCTCTCTGTTGCTACTGTGGGCTGCTTGTTGTCGGTAAATAAAGGAAGTAGGGAGTTTCTAAATTCATAAAATGCAGGCCTTACAAGGGCACAGTGACTTTATAAAGTCACAGATGAGATCAAAGGACTTTAAGTGCTTTATGGCTTTCACACTTAACTAGCTTCAAACTGGATTGAAATGAGTGATTTTCTCTCGGTTTCTCAGTGGAATGACAGCTTTAGTGGCTTTATTCAGTGGCTGTTAGGTGATAATCACTGATATCTGAAATTCATATCAGCCATTGACCCACTGAGCAGATTGGAACACTTGCATAACATGTTAATTGAGATCTGTGCTGGGCATGCTTCAGCTAATGTGGGCAGCAAAGAGGCGGCCATCTGTTAAGGGTAGGAGAGGGTATTGAATGGAAGCTTTCTGATCAGCTGACAGAACATGGGATGTCCCCCTGCTGTCATCTGATGGGGGCAGGCCTCAGCAATCTTAAATGTCAGGCACCCGAAAATTACAACTGCCTCCACAAATGCCAGTGGTGCGTATCCTCCAGCTCTTTGGTGATGTCGAACTGCAGATTTAGAAGAATTTTAAATGAAGGAGACGTTTATGCAAGGGAACCTTGATGTTGCGTTATCCCCACTCTCTGTTACATTGTGTTAAGACGGAGTGAAACAGATGTTCCTGTGCTGAATTTACTCTGCGAGCAGAGGGAGGGCAGTGGCAGACAGGAGGCGGGGAGATGTGCAGCTTGAGCCAATCGGTGGGGTTTCCTTTCCAGACTGGCCTCCTTTTACAGGCTGCTGACACCAGTGCTATATTAAAGTAACATCACCCACAGCTGCACCTGACAAGTCACAGCACTGACACTCCTGAGAGCAGGGGGAAATGCGCTGAAGTCTGGCCACACTTGCAATTTGCATCACTCGCAAATGGGAACATTTCTTTGCTGAGGCTCGGTGGAATTCACAGCTTTTCTACTCTCTTCTATCGAGTGTTAGACCTGCTTGCTGCTGGCTCTGTGGTTTGTAGAGTAGCTTGTACTCAGCACCCGCTGTGATTGTCTGTTTCTGTTCAGAACTAGAGAGGTACCTCCAAAAAAACAAATGCAATGTGGAACTTGACAGAACAGCTGAGGTTTGTTTTTCTCGCATAGTTATATTTTTTACCCTCTCACTGAAGGCATCCAGCTTCCAGAGGACCAACTCCTCCCTAAAAGACACCTTTAAACACAGGCGGCTGGATTTTTTTTTTTTTTTGTTTAACCTTTACGATTTTGTTTATCTAGCAAATGGAGTGACTCTTACCTGGGGCAGTTTATGGGGCTCTTTTTGTGATGCGGATGGTCATGGTCAAATTTAGCTTAGAGCCCACCACCCACTGTGTTCCATGAAGAGGTTTGGCAGCTTGAGGAGAAGCAAGAAACGGAAGGAGCAAGATGGGCTAGGCGGGAGGCATCAGTCCGAGGCGTCCTACCTGTCTGGTAATGTGTAGAAAGACATTCAAAACAATTTCCTCTAACATTTAATTTGCTTATTATTTAGTAATTTAAAGTCAGAAAATAGTGAAAAAGAACCATTAGGATTTTTGCTGGCCAACAGCCCAAAACCCAAACCCATAACCTCATAAATGAGATACTGCAGTAAAGAGTGCTCCTGTGTATAAATATGGCTATCAGCAGGGTGATGTGATATGAAAGTAGTAGTTTAACCTCATTGTCAGGCTAAAATGGTAAATCAGTGCTGGACAAACAGAGCTCATTACCTCAGAATATTGGCTCCTGGGTAGCTTTGCCCTAAAATGTTGTATAAATTCCTTTTTCATGGATTTTGTCCATGCTATCAACTTACAACTTTAAATGCATGAATAAATGTCTCAATAAATATACTTAACATTGACCGTTCAGGTTATTCTCGTCATAGCAAATTATATTAAATAAGAGCAGCTTTCTTTTTTTCTTAGTCTATATATGTATGTGTGGTTATTAAGTGTCATTTCATGTGGCCATTAGAGCTTCTCTTAGTGGCTGGTTTCATGGCTGATCTCTGGTTTCACAAAAGCATACCATGCATTCGTGCTAAATAACTGGACACAGGTCAGTGGTGCTAAAGTTATGCAGGAGGGTCTGACGTGGAGTCAGCACTTAGTGATCGCTTGGCTAAATTCATATACATGTACGTACTGCATTGTGCTTGATTCACACTGTCTGTCTTTGCTAATTTAGCGATTAAGGTGTGTGTTTTAGTTGTTTCATGTCTTAAAGGAGACCCTTTATACTCATGTCCAGTTCCATGAACTCTACTAAAGTATGTCTGCAAAACTTAGTGTTTAAAACGTGTCTTATTTCCCTTTAGCTAGCAATGTGAAGTCTCTCGGTTTCATTCACTACCTCTGTTCATCTTCCCTTTAAACCAGCTTGGTTCTCATTGGCTACACTGCAAAACAGAAGATTACATCAGCAGCTCGGTGGGTCTTTTGTGCTCACTGCCAAAATCTGTGTACAGATTAAAGAGGAGAAAAAACTTTAAATAATAAGGAAGTCTGCTTTAAGATGAAAATGCAAAAGTTATATGTATTTATTTTATTGTGATCCTGTCATTATGTCATAACGAAGCAATTTATAGGCACTCAGCCTGATGTAGCATCGCTTCATTGTCCTTATTTCTGTCCCATTTCCAAAGGGAGCTCAGAGTAGCTGCTCCATTTGGAGTGTTTCATTAAAATAGTCAGGAAGTATTTCAGCTTAAACCTTAAGCAGAGATAATCAGAACACACCGAGCTGAATCGTTTAACACATCTCCTTACATGTGGGTGAATCATTTACATTTATGTACATCATTCAGGTTTTCACGATTGAACGCAAGCCGTGGAAAACGAGAAGTAATAGAGATGCCAAACGAAAATACCAGATCACCATTGGAGATGTAATGCAGTTTTTGTGATGTGTTTAGTTCGTGTTAGTAAAGCACTGAGGGTCATTTTTGTGGTGTTCAAGTGGCGCTTTATCGCAAACTTCACAGCTCCTGATTTAGAGCCAGTCTGACCTCGGCTGAGTAGACGAGAGGAGCAGAGTCCTCTGTCGTAATGACTCATGTCCATATGTGGCTGTATGAAGTTCACTGTGGGCACTGTGGGCCTCAGCCTGACCCATAGGTCCTTTGACGCCGAGCATCTACACTGCGTAAACCATGTCACTTATATTAGTCACCGCACCCTTAAGGAGGTAGACACCTGCGTGTAAAAATTCTTGTCAGAGCCAATTAGATACCAGTTTGCTACTCGGTAATGCTGTGTACACGAGTTTCTACTGTCAGTAGTACACTTGAGATTTTGCTAACCTATCGAAGACCCCAATTGTCAAATTCTTCTCGTTCCTAGAAAATTATTTAAACCCTCATGGGTGATTGGTGTCATGACTGCAAATCCCTACCATCTCTACAAGCTACACCTTATACTTTTACTTGTCTAAAGGCTGCAGAGCCATGTTGTTTTTTGGAATAAAACTGTTCTTCAAGAACTGAACTCTCTATCAGTTAGTCTGATAACTGAGTTGACAGGCTGACAAGAGGTTAAAAATCAGAAAATAGTGAAAAATTTTATAAATCACAAGAATATGGCTTTGCATTTCTCTTTTTCGTCTGACTTGCAAACCCAAAACTGTTAAATTTATTATGATATAAAACAAACAAAGAGCATATTCGCATAATTCAGATGCTGGAACGAAATCCTGTTTGGTATTTGTGCTTGAAAATACACTAATCAACAAATTAGGGTGTTACTGTGATAAGGAATTGGCACTTTCATTATCAGGTTAAAGAGAGATGATAAATTACTGCTGCTTTTATCTCCCTGCACACATAGATTTTCCCTTTTAGATGTAATATAAAAAAAAACCTGTTAGATGGACTGCTTGCAGCAAGGCATCCATTTCCTGTTTCCTGGGTTTGGGCTAGCTGCCCCTTATTAACTGGGCTAAAGAGAAGGCTCCCAACCCCGCTGTTATCTGCTCCTGTGGAATGTGCCACAACAGCGTGGCTAAAATAAGAAGGCTACACAGCGGAAGCAGGGCACACCAGAGAGGCCACGCCAACTAAATGTCAAGAGATAGTGTGGAGTGCGCTTGGACAGGCCGAGCAAAAATGTTTGCTTGAAACACTGAGCCTCCTTTAAGAAAAGATATCTTATAACTTGAGTTAATCATTACCAGTATTAGTTTTTGATTATGAGGCATGTAATTACTGTTTTGTTTTTTTAACAGGTAAAGTAACAAAATCCACACCGACGCCAATACACAGACTTTAAAGCTGACTCATTTGGGAATACAGCTTACTAAGTTTACAGTGGTCATGCTTTATTTCCTAGGAATATTTAAATATAAATACTGACTAATGCTGATGCTTGCTTGAAACCGACTGTCAGTAATAACCGTTCTGGACGTCCCGTGCTGTAGGCCTTGTAATCTGAACCGTTTGCTCCACATCATCCATGTCACTCATTGTCTGGCCTCAGAAATATGTCACTGGGATGAGGCCAGTGCAGCGTGAGTGTCGCATGTTACCCTGCGTAAGATCGTGGGCGCCTGATGTGAAAAGCGTGTGTGGTGGCTGTCATGTGACACACACCTACAATCTGACACTTCACCGGGAGGAGTTGCGTCACGGACAGCTGACTCTCACAGTGGAGTTATGTTTAATGTGGCTGCTTATGTTGTAATCGGCGTGGTTATGCTCGAGGGACACAAAGAACAAAAGAAAGACCTTCTTTTCTCCAGTTACACTCCTGACACTTTATTAGGTACATCACGCAAATACTAAGCTGGCCCTCTTTTTTTTTTTTTGTCTTCAAAACTAATCCAAGAAAATATTTTGGTTCATATTAACGTGATAGCGCCACCGAGTTGGTCCTGTCATTCCACTGCATCCCGAAGGTGCTTTATCAGATTGAGATCTGGTGACTGTGGAGGCCATTTGAGTACAGTGAACTCATTGTCATGTTCAAGAAAACAGTTTAAGATGATCTGAGCTTTGTGACATGGTGCGTTATCCTGATAGAAGCAGTCTTCAGAAGATGGGTACACTATAGCTGTAAAGGGATGACCATAGAACTGCTGTTTTCCATTTTTCTGGCCATTCGTTGTAAACTCTGGAGATGGATGTGTGGGAAAATCCCAGTAGATCAGCACTTTCTTAAATACTCATACCAGCAGCAACCACGCCACGTTAAAAGTAACTTAAATCACTTTTCTTCCCCATTCTGATGCTTGGTTTGAACTTTAGCAGGTCTGTTTGGCCATGTCTACGTGCCTAAATGGACAGAGTTGCTGCTGTGTGATTGACTGATTAGATATTTGCATTAACGAGCAGCTGAACAAGTGTGCCTAATGAAGTGGCTGGTGAGTGTCGATCTGCTCAGCTAAGTCGAGCTGGGTGTTGCCTTCAAAGGATTTTTTTCCCCATTAGTAGATGCAGAAGTCAGCAGCTGTCAGGTCTCTGCAGTCATGTTGAAGAACATGTCACAGGTTTAATTACAGTTTAGATTCGGTGGTTATAGAGACACAGCCACTTAATTAATGAACTTGAATATACCTCATGAAAGTCTATGACTTATGAGTCAGTATCATTTATATTTAAAGTGTGGCGTAAACATAGGAGTAAAGAAAATTACATTTTCAGTGTACGTGAACAAAAATCGTATTAAAATAGCATTAAATAGCTTTCAAATCCATTTTTATTCTACTTCTGCTTGTGTTTTAATCTGATTAGTTTCAGACATTCACATTTAATTATAACGACATGCATCAAATTCAGCGTTAATGAGTTTCCAATCCAAAGATGAGTAACAGGAGCTCAGCTTTTGGACTCAGGATTCAAGCCTGATTCCCTCTCAGCACAGCAGACCTGGAGTGTGTCTGACTTAAAGTGAGGACGGGGAAATGTTAACACCAAATACCAAGACACTAACCAGGCTGAGTTTCAGATGGACTAACAAAAACAAAAGACTTTATGCACCCGCACAGGTGTTTCCACTTCTTGCTAATTAGACTTCAGCTAGACTGTAATTACATCCCACACAGTCCCGAGAGGACGTCTAACACGACGGAAGAAGTGAAACCCACAAACACCACCGTGGTCTTTTGTTTGTTTGTAAATGGATAATTCAGGCATTTCTATCTTAGTACCATCCATTTTCTTCTAATTCAGGGACTTGGGATGGGATCTGCAGCCTACCTCAGCAATCAGAGGTGGGGTACACCCTGGACAGGTTGTACACACACGGACAAACCCCACTAAGTGCATGTCTTTGGACTGTGGGTGAAGACAAAGAATGTACAAACTCCACACAGATGATGGATTTGAACCCAGGACCTTCCTATTATGAGGCAACAGTGCTAACCATACAATTTAAATGTTTTATGGTTATAATATTTACAATGATGAATAGTGTTTTCTTTTTTTTCCCCACTGTGACCCACATTAGATCAACTGGTATTTAAATTGTGCTTTTCTAGTCTTAGTGACCACTCAAAGTGCTTTAGGCTACCAGTCATATTAAACCATATATTCATACTTTCAGCGCTTCAGCTTCCTCGCATCCATGGCCTATATAGAGTCTTTGGCCTGTGGGAAGAAGTTTGATTATTTGGAGGACGTGTATGCACAGGGAGAACATGGAGACTACTGCTCCACCATGCCACCCAGCGGGTGCAGAAACTCTTTTAAGCTTTTCTAGTTCAGTTACTCTTTATTTGATGTCATTGCTGCTTTTCAGGCATAAACTTGAAGATTTGCAGTTGAATCAGTGTCATATTTTTCTTTAATCTTCAACATGCTCCCACTTGTCTATTAAAGCTTGAATATGTTGCTAATTTCATTACTGAAGTCGATTTTACAGCTGTCTTTGAAATGTTGATTTTCTAGTGCTGTGTATCCCTGTGTAAAAAAAACAAAACAGGGCCACTAAAGCTTTATCTCAGTATCTGTGTTATTTCTCAGCTCATGGAAATCTCCTAGTTCAGATCGCTTTTGCTCCTCCGTTTATTGCCTATGACAGCGTTGACGGCATCTGCAGCAGCCACCACTGTAGCACCTCCTTCTCCAGCAGCAATGCTTATCATAGACGTCAATCAGCGCTGCGTCTCGGTGTTGCTGAAAGTGCGGTATGGATTGACATCCAGAGAAACAAGAGATAAGCTGTGATATCTATTTTGGACTCTGTATCTCTCTTCAGCCTCTGGACTCTCTACACCACCCCACACCCCAACCCAGGCATCCAGCCAACCAGTGTTCACCCAGGAGGCCCAGCAGAGCGGCCCCAGCCCTGAACGCCCGGAGCAAAGCTCTCGCTCTCGTTCCCTTTCCACACCTCCCGACACAGGACAGCGCCTCAGCCTTCCTTCTGCTAAACCCCCAATCCCTTCATCGAGCCCCGTGCCACCTTATTCTACCTCACAACAAGTGAGTCAAAAAAGATAAAAAATCTATTTTAAGAATTTATCTTTGACCCAGGGCAATTCAGCCAATGCCTGTGAGCTTTAACTCTTAAAAGAGTGGAAGTTAGAGTGAGTCTTTCAGATGGTTTGCTGCACATTCCTGCACCAAAATAAACAAAACATAAGCCAGACTTCATGTACAGCATCTCAAAACTCCAGATACAGATCAATGATGCTATAACTATGCAAGGTGGAAGTTTTTGGAGAGAGCGCTACAAGTTCACAGGCATTGACTGAATTGTCTCAGGGATCAGGAATTAACTGCATGAAATATGTGTGTTTAGGTCAACAACAAGGCTACTGAGCCATATCCTCCTTCCTTGCAGGTAAACTAATTTTTGCACCGGTTCAGTGTTGGCAACAAAAAAAGACTCCATGGGAAGCTGATAACTATTTTTTTCCCTTTGTGCCTGAATAACAGTGGCTTGCATGTCTCCCATCTATGAGTCATGTGCTTTGTTTACTCAGAGTCATGAGTTTATCTGCAAAGTGGTGTACAGAAGGCAGAGATGCAAATCCTTTTAATTCAGGTTCGCTTTTCCTCAAGCCTTGCTCTTGCGTCAGCAGGACTTTGTTTGTACCATAAGCTCTGAGCTGCTCTAGCTGCAGAGGAGAGGGTGTAAACATTGTCTTGACATTTAAGCCATAACTCAAACAGCTTTCAGTGTCAGCTAAGCCGCTGCATAATTGACTGTAACCGGAAAAACAGCTGAGAACAAGTTCAGTCTTTGTCACAAGACTTTTCACTGAAGGTTTATTTGGATTCTGACAGCCTGTGTCTGGATTTTATACCAGATTTCTTTGAGCTAGAGAGGAATTACTCCATCGCTCACTGTGCTGCTTTAATGAATAATTATCCGAAGACCCGTCTACTTTGAGTGATTGTGGATTCTAGCCAACGATGGTAAATCAATATTTCATCACCAGTGTTGTATACGGTTGATATTAACACCCAGGGACACACGATTGTGGTTGGAGGGCGATGAGCCGGTGCGGGTCAGCTCCTCTGCGCTTCCTCTGTCATATCTTAAGGGAGACTTGGAAAATAAACTGAAGTTGTTGCAGTTTACATTTTGGCCAGAAGTGATTAAATTCATAGATCCGTGCTTGTCTGCTTCCCCGTAGTTCTCCTTTAACCCAAAAGCGGTGCCTACTGCGATGCCGCAACCAGAGATTTATGAAAGTGCAGGGGTAGTTCTTTTCTTCTTTTTTTTTTTTTTTTTTTTTTTTGGACAAGAGAAGCGCTGTGTCACCGTTGCAGGGCAACACCAGGGGGGAAGGGGGTGGGGGCTGTTGAACATCCACGAGTAGGCATGCGGATGCGCTCCTGTTGTGCTGCAGTGGCTTCTTGTGAATATGTGCTTGCAAATTAGGAGCCAGGGGAAATCGGGTATCAACAAGCGCACTTTGAGTATGCAAATATCTCAGCATGACACAGCATATTTTCGGCTGGCTACTGCACTGTGCTGTCAGGGAGAGGGAGTCAGCACAATCTGCATGCCATATTCTCGGGCTCCTACTACAAGGACCCCAAAGAGTTGCTTTAGTTCAGCCATGTGTCTCGTTATGTCTGAAGAAATTATCTCTGTGGATGTGACAAAGGAATCCCCAGCTTCTTGCTGCTAAGCAACACAAGGGATTTCCTTATATGGCGAAGCACCCAGGTTGCGCTGCACGGAGGGGTGTGTCCTGAGCGCACGGTGCTTCCTGCTTTCTATCTGTACCCCCGCCGACTCCCCCCCACACTCTTCGTGCCAGCGACTGTTATTGTGGTGAGTTTAGCAGATTGAGGCTTTAACAATGAATTGGGCCGATTCGTTGCAGCTGGATTACTGCTCACGCGTCTGTGCAGTGGCTGTATGAGCAGCGTTGGTTTCCTCCGCTGCAGCAAATGGATCAGGACTGTTCCACTGCGAGTTTTTAAGGGGGTGTGTGCGTGTGTGAGAAGTCTAATATTGTGCCGCTAAAGTTGTACCTCCTCCGCGCGAGGGTTCTTATCGCGTTACCTGCGTATATTTAGCGGACCTGTTGTAGGTTTACGTAATCGGTACAGCGACAGGGTCGCACGTTGCGGTTTAGTAGTTTTGGTTGTTTTGCGCACCGCGTTCGGTGCGATCACAGTCTCCTGGGGCCGCTGGGGAAAAAGTCGGCGTCGCTGCTGCGCTCTCACAATTTACAGCAAAGTTTTTGTGTATGTGCTGTGGGGACTTGCTGCGCTCTTCACGGCGAACTTGTGCCTTTGCTCTCTCCTAGGTCTACAGTTTATTCGAAGGCATGCTGGAGAAACTTGATCTAGACGATGATGGTAAGTTACCAATTGCAATATTTGCTGATCTAGTGCTCATCTTTTCCTGTGTGTGTGTGTGTGTGTGTGTGTGTGTGTGTGTGTGTGTTCGCGCGCGCGCGCGCTATCTTCACCTCAATTAGTCCTAGCTCGGTATAATGAGGGTGAAGATGATCAAGACGTCTTGCCAGATTCAGGTGAATGTACCACGTTAAAAAACAAACAAAAAAAAAAAAACCCTGCCCCCCCTGTTCGCAGTGTGCGGCGCGTGTGTAGACCTCTTCACAGAGGGCCAGCTATTCATCCGAATTGTGTCAGTATCACCCTGCTGATTGCCCCCACAGACTGCTTTCTACCGGTGTGCTCTCAAAACGTGTGTGTGTGTGTGTGTTTGCGTTATTTGCCTCCCGTCTCCTTGTCATCACTGTTATAAATGCTGAGTGTTGCGGCAGGGTTGACGAATCAATGCGCATACATTTGCCCAAGAGACCATATTATAACCAATACAGACTGCTGGGTGCCAATGTATTGGGGTAATCAAAGGAGACACACACACACACACACACACTCTTCACAGCATGTAGGGGAGGGGGAGAGTTTTAATTGGTGTGCTATGTCATCTCCTTGAAATATAAAACGAATATTTATCGAAATGTTAATGAAAGCTCCTAAACCAACTTAAAATAAAATAAAGACGTTTAAATTGACCTTAAGCAACTGAAATAATTTCCACGATTTTACACGATGCATTAAATCACTTATGAGCTTTTACTTGAACCCATCTGTGAATTTTCTGTCACGGCAACATGTTGCAAGGATGTTATCTCCTGGAGTACTTTCCTGCCCATGTTTTCCCACTGTTTGTGTACTTCTATGTTTAAAGCGTAATTATCTCTAAGATGGAGCACTAAAGTGGCTGTAAGTGGTTCAGTCCCGTAATGGTTAGTGTGTGTGGTGTTGTTTCCAAGCTCTCGTTTTATACTCCCTGTGAGATTTCCCCCTTCCTCTCAAACCGCGGTGTACGGAAATTAAAATATTACTTCTGTAGTTATCTTCTAAATATTTACTATTAGCTGACAGTGCTGGAGGAGGTTTTAAAACCGTTAGCTCTAAAACCCAATGAAAGCCCCTCATTACAAATAAAATATCACTGGCAAATTGTGATTAAAAATTAAAAAAAAAATTGTTCTGCAGAAAAAGTTCCCCGTGAGTGTTATATGGATATTTTAAATACTGTAGATTAATTTGAACACAAAGTAACTTATAGTCTGTAGAATCACATGTTTGTAATGTAGCTGTACTGTAGGACCACATATCTTGAAATAACTGGTTCAGAAACACAGACATGCCTCCTGGTATTGAGTTCAGAGTCTGAAGACTCTCCCAAGTGACGTAGGACAAAATAAAGGATGCACTCTGAACAGGTCAGCAGTCTGTTGCAGAGTACATTAAATATATATTTAAAAAAAAAATGAAGGTGATGTCTTAGCTAAATATCTGGTTAAACTTTATTTGGTTTCCCCCCCCATAACTGATATTATACTGAAGGTGGTGGTGGTATCTGCACCACTTCTCTTTGCTTTGTAAAACCAGACATTGTAAGAGCTGACGTTTGGTCTCCATTATCAGGACTTTCTTTAATAAGGTGCTAAATGAGTTATTAAAGACTATTTTACATAACACTTTGACCTCCTCTAGATTACACATGTTGACCCTGTTGGTTAGTAAGAGAAAACTTGTATTACGCTGATGAATCAGAGAAACCGTTTACTTGGGGTTGCTAGCTCTGTTTCTACACAAAATACAGCACCCTATGCAGAGCCAGCTTGCCTGAGATTTATCCACAATGTGCAAGTGCAGACAACTAGAAGAAGCTGTTGGTCTCCGAGCTTGACAAGCTCAGTCCATTTTTAACAGGACACGAAATAACTATGAAATCTAGACGCAACGGTTTTCAGTGAAACCAGATGTAAGCGGAGTTGCGCCTGTTTCCAGAGACAATTGTGGCCACAAGATGGCGCTAATGTAAAGGATGGATGTAAACTGGCACGTGAGCAGCTTTATGACAGAATGTTGTTTTGAGATGAAAGGAGAGATTGCTTTCACTTTACTATGTTTTAAATGATGCCAATTTTTAGATTTTACTAAATGAGCACAGCTTGCTTTGCTTTTTTGATAGAATGACACTGGTCTGCAAGCGTTTTCACACTGGTTTTATTTATTTTTTGTTTTGTTTCGCAGCTGCTGAACCCGAGAGTGATATTTACATGCGCTTTATGAAATCCCACAAGTGCTATGACATCGTCCCCACAAGCTCCAAGTTGGTTGTGTTTGACACAGCACTCCAAGTAAGCACAATAATATGCTCTGTCCTTTTGACTGCAGACAAAGCTGTAATGACTTTTTGTTGTTGTTGTTGTTGTTGTTGTTTGGTTTAAAAACCGAAGCAGGCACTCAGGCTAAGTTAATGTTCAATAAACTAAGCTGAAGTATTTTACCTCTCAGCAGTTTCTGGGAAGTGGCTGATCAAACTGTCATAAAGCTGTTAAACACTAATCCTCGAAAGTCTTTGATGCGTAGATGTTTAACTACTAAATGCACTAAGGCAATGGGTTAATAATCCTTATCTAAAACCAAGGAAAACTAATGTCATTGAGAGGTACACTACACAAGAGATTTTGAGTACTGTTCTACTTAACATGACAATAAGACTGCAATTCAGGATTAATTTTCATGTATTTAATCTAGTCTGTGAAATACATGGATAGCTCTTCATGACATATTAAAATGTTGTGGTTTTGACAAAAAAAACACTACAAGACCTAAAAGAAAACCTATACACTTCATTAGGTACACCTGTTCAACTATTAATGCAAATATCTAATCACTCAATCATATGCCAGCATCTCAGTGCGTTTAGGTATATAGACATGATCAAGGTGACCTGTTGAAGTTATGCATCAGAAAGGGGAAGACAGATGACTTTAATGACTCTGAAGGTGACATGGTGGTTGGTGACAGATGAACTGGTCTGAGTATTTCAGAAGCTGATCTCCTGGAATTTTCCTACACAACTGTCTCTAGAGTTTACAGAGACTGGTCTGGAAAAAAAGAAAATATCCAATGAGAAGCAGTTCTCTGGGTCAAAATGGCTTATTCATGTCAGGTCAGAGGAAAATGGGCAGACTGCTTTAAGTTGATAGAGAAGGTAACAAAAATAACCACTCGCTACGTAAAATGTAAGAAAAGCATCTCTGAGCACCACGGGTTGAACCTTGAAGCAGAATGCCACACCAGGTGCCTGTTGGATAAGAACAGAGGCTAAAATTTGTGTGGGATCACCAAAAACTGGACAGTAGATGATGGGGAAAAATGTTGTCTGGTCTGATGAGCCTTATTTTCTGCTGCAAAATTACAATTCTAGTATCAAAGTGTGGCGTAAACAAGATGAAGTTCAGGCTGCTGTGGTGTAATGGTCTGGAGACATTTTCTTGGCACACTTTAAGCCCCTCAGTAACAATTGAGTGCTTAAACAACACAGAGTACCTGATTATTATTGCTGACCATGTCCATCTTTATGGTCATCTTTATGACCACAGTGTACCATCTTCTATTACCTGCTTCCAGCATCATGTCACAAAACTCAAATTATCTCAAAACTTGTATCTTGAACTTGATTGTTCAAGAAACACGTTCACTGCACTCAATTAGCCTCTACAGTCACCATATTTCAGTCAAGCCGAGCACCTTTGAGATGTGGTGGAACAAGAGATTTACATCGTAGATGTGCAGCTGACAAAATTACTGAGCAATGTTTCCAGCAGATCCAACCCAGTACTATGAAGGTGTAACTAATTAAATAGCCGGTAAAGGTGTATCGGTTTATGATAGGCGTTAACTCCTAAGAGTTCACAGAATAATAAACAGAACAGTCACCACCTGCAATCAATTCAATGTTTCTTTGGCAGGTTAAGAAAGCCTTTTTTGCCTTGGTAGCCAACGGTGTGCGGGCTGCTCCACTATGGGACACAGAGAAGCAAAGCTTTGTGGGTAAGAAACTTGACAAATACCTTTTTCTTATTGTTCACTAAATAAAACACAGTTTATTGAAGGACCTGCTATTTTTATTTGGTTTTTTTTTTTTTGACATTTAAAAAGCTTCCCCATCAAAGATGCAGTCAATTGTGGTCTGTATTCGACTTTTACACATTTTACTGTGTGAGTATAAGTTCAAGAGTTTAAGTTCTTGTAATAGAGTTGTATAATAAGCTATAAAATGCAGAAGAAATCCTGTATTAAGAATTTAGATGAGAAAAAGAAAATGAGAAAAACATCTCTGTAAACTTCTGTCACTACAGTGGTGTCAAAAGGCAGAGCAGAGGTGAATTGGATTTGCTGTGCTTTATTGAAACGACTTGTGATGAATAATGAATGCAGAGTCAGTGTGAGAATAAAGCTGTGGTGTACTGTTTAGACCACGCCCTTATAAGCGCTGTCTCTACCCAGCTGCACGCAGGCTTGGCTCTGTGTTGTTATTCATTATTTCAATGTGATTTAAAAAAAAAAAAAAAAAATTTTAATGCCTGTTTTCATTGCAGGAATGCTGACAATCACAGATTTCATCATCATACTACACAGATACTATAAGTCACCGATGGTAGGTGCAGGTCACAGCTAAGGCGTGTGAGATTTACCCCTCGTTCCACTAAGACGTACAGTTTTCTTTTGGTTCTCTTTCAGGTGCAAATTTATGAACTAGAGGAACATAAGCTCGAGACGTGGAGAGGTAAGTGCTTGTTCTCCTGTGGTGCATGGATATTGTAAGGGTTTCTTTCATTTTTACCAAAAAAAAGAAAAGTGTGAAAATGAATAAATACCTGACTTGGACTGAGGCTGAAGGAATGCTGTTTGTCTGTTTGGGAGTGTAGAAAGGATTAAAAAAGAAACGTCAGTGTGATACATGAGAAAATTCCACCTGACCCCAAACTATTTGTACTTGTTTGTATCCAATGACACGCTGATAATAAAAATGAAACCCCGTTAGACCAAATGATTCCTTAATGGATAAGACAAATGATGTCAAACTTTCCACTAGAAAGAATAACATGCAGTCATGTGAATGCAAAGGTTTTCACAGGACTCTGTGCAGTCATGTGGAAAAACTAAGTACACCCTTACTGTGTACACAGGAATTAAGAGTAGCAGCTGGGTGCTGATAATGAAATGCTCTTTATTAATTGGTGATCAGTAATTTTGATCACCTCTGTAAAAGCAGATTTGCTTTTACTGGTCTGGACCATTCAGGTGTGTGTTAAAACAGTGCTACATTGGCCCATTGGCAAAATGTCCCCAAAGTCAGACTGCACAGTGCTCAGAGAAACTGCCAAAAACCAGGCACTCAGACTCGGGTTTTTGAGAACTCTACGAGCCTCGAGTAGCATGTTAAAGTTCATCACGGTACAATTAGAAAATGACTGAACACTTATTACTTGTTTGGAAGGGTTGCCAGAAGTCACGCATGAAGGCCAGCGGTCCAACAGCTAAAGCTGGGTCATGCAACAGGAAGTGTTCCCAAACACAGCCGCAAATCTGCAACAGAATGTCTGAAAAAGTGCAAGAATAAAGGTGTTGCAATGATTCAAAGTGCAGCCCTCATCCTTATTGAAGTGCTGTGGCAGTTAAAAGAGCTACGAGTACCCACAAACGTCAATTAACTCAAACCGACGTTATAAAAAGAAAGTGCTCCAAAATTCCTCCCCAACAATGTGAGAGACTGATAAAGCCATAGAGAAAATAATTACTTCAAGTTGTTAAGGCTAAAGGCGGTTCCACAAGCTGGTGAATTATGGGGTGTATTGCATAAAATCCTGTGAAAGGTGTTTTTTCATTTGACTGTATGAAAAACACTGAGCAAATAATTAAATTCTTGTTTGTTTTTTCTTTTAAATATATGGATGCATATATTGTCTGTGTAGAAGTGATTGTAAGCCACCATTGTTTTGTTTCCTGCCTTGCAGAGGTTTACCTTCAAGCAACATTCAAACCTCTGGTGAACATATCGCCAGATGCAAGGTACGTTTTCAGAAGGAATAAAATGTGTAATGTCTCGTTACGTATTTGTGAGTGAGAGGATTTTTGTTTTTTGTTGTTTTTTTTTTTTGTTTTTTTTGCAACTAACGTCTGCTGTGCTTGCAGCCTATTTGACGCCGTCTACACTCTCATCAAAAACAAAATTCACCGGCTGCCTGTCATCGACCCCGTTACAGGGAATGCACTTTATATTCTCACACACAAGAGGATCCTCAAGTTCCTCCAGCTCTTTGTGAGTCCAACCCATCAGCTTGCATTAGCATGCATAAGATCAACGTGGTTTATTGATTTTTTTTTTTAAATTTATATAGGTACAAATGTGTATTATGAACTTTAGATGGGCTTTTAAACTACATACATGATTCAATAAGAAACAAACCTTTTTTTTTCTTTTTTTTAAATTTGTTTTAAGCATGAAAAAATCAGAACAACATATAGAGCAATACAGGGCACAAACTGATTAAGATTATGCAGGCTGGGGACCTTCAAGGTGCTTTCTCTAGTCTTCTCTCACTTTCACTTAATTGGCTCCCCCTAGTGGTCAACTTTTTAAAAGGAAGAAATTGGATGAATTGTTTTGACGTCTTCCTGCCTCTTCACTACGAGTGTTTGTGTGCCTCAGATGTGTGAGATGCCAAAGCCAGCTTTTATGAAACAGACTCTTGGCGAGCTGGGCATCGGAACATACCACGACATTGCTTTCATCCACCCAGACACACCCATCATCAAAGCACTCAACATCTTTGTGGAGCGGCGAGTGTCTGCTTTGCCTGTGGTGGATGACTCCGGTGAGACCACAAACTTCAATACTGGCATCGTGTACCTTTTTATCAGCGCAACCTAATCAACTTTATACTGATTAGATTTTTTTTTTGTTCCTTTTCTTACAGGCAAAGTTGTGGATATTTACTCCAAGTTTGATGTGATTGTAAGTTTAAACATACCGCATTTTTTGCTTTATCAAATACTTGGGGCATACTGTTGTTTGGTTGCTTGTTGATTGTGTTGTTGTGTGTAGAACTTGGCTGCTGAGAAGACGTACAACAATCTGGACATTTCAGTGACCCAGGCTCTGAAACATCGCTCTCAGTACTTCGAAGGAGTTATGAAGTGCCATAAAATGGAAACGATGGAGACCATTGTGGACAGAATAGTCAAAGCTGAAGTAAGACACAGAGACGCTGGATTCAGTTCCTCAGGCGTAGCCCCACTGCTGATTTCCAGCTCACCTGTAACTGTGCGTTATTGCTCCAGGTGCATCGGTTGGTGGTGGTGGATGAGCGCTCCAGTATCGAGGGCATCGTTTCCCTGTCAGACATCCTTCAGGCGCTGGTGCTCAGTCCTGCAGGTATAGATGCTCAGCATTGCTAGCGTCAACTCCCCCTCTGCCCTGGACCTTGAGCTCTCTCTCCCCACCTGCCCTCTAACCCTGCCAGAGGTAGGAAACATGCCTGTTTGGCTTGCAGCTGGCTATCACCTGTAGCTGGCTATGAAGAGGCATGGTGGCCATTTGTCCGGTGTCCTGTTTGTCCTGCTGGCTGCAGCATTGTGCAGCAGTGTTGTGTGGATTTTTGTGTTTGGACAGAATGCATAGACGAAAAAACTTGCAGCCGGTTCTTGAGCAAAATTAAAAGTAAATGAGAGTTTGGTGGTTTTCAGTATACAGTGGCTTTTGTTTAGAAACAAGGAATAATGTGTAAGTAGGATAAAAGGAACCTCTGTTAACAAGGATGAGTCCACGTTAGTATCGCACTGGAATTCATCGTACATGTGCGGTACTTAAGTTTTGCAAAGGGCTTTCCACTGCGGTCCAAATGTTTGCTCCCTCCAGACACTTTAATGAACTATGTATGCTCTGCTTTGCTGATATTTGGCTTGTTTGGCCTGCAGCAAGCTCTACATTTAGTATTGATGTGCTTGAAAGAAACTAACATGCTTGCACAGTTATTATTTAATTTTTTGTGTGTGGTTTGTTCAGATTATAACCCCATCAGATAAGAGATGGTGCAAAGTACTTGAAAGAAAACGCAGCACACAGGCCTTTGTCACCTCATGAATTCTGTTTTTTAACCCAGCTCTTATTGACGTCTCTCAAGCCGTTTCGGGTTCTTCCTGAGTCTAAACAAAGTCTAGCGGGGCAGTTGTGGAGAGTTTTAAGGAGAATAAAAAATGTTGTTTTGATAAAACAGGAAGTTCAGTTGGCGGGATGTTGTAACAGCAGGCAAACTTGTGCTCACACACCTGCTTTTATTGACCTTGGTGTGTAACTGCAGTTACACAGAAATGGTTGTTAAAATTCCAGTCATTGGTGTCGAGCCTAATTCCAAAAATCAAAAAGAATATAAGGATTAAAGTTTAAACTCTGCTCCTGTCTCTACTGCAATATTTATTATTTCCCTTTTTCCTGCGTGTTCAACTGCATAACTATTGTGCTACTTCTACTCCACACCCGCTTTCCTTCCCTTCTTTATCTTATCTGCTCCCCAGACTACCTGTACTCTTTAAATGGAGTACAAGAACTTAAACTCTTGAAGAACCTGCGATATACTCGTCACACAGAAATAAGATGATAGAGATGTATGTATCAGCGCGTAATTAGTGAAGGTCAAGAGAATTGATCAGACCACAAGGTTGGAGTTGACTTGCAATCTATAATTAAATTGAAACATTAAGGTAGGGAGTGTAAGGCTGAGTGGAGCCAGGCTGAAGGTCCCAGATACCCCTGAAACCAATGCACTAATAAAGGCTTGGAACCCAAAGAGCTAGACTGCTGAGTGAAGTGGACTTCTGCACTGAAGATTGGATTTTCTTTTCTTTCTCTCCTGAATTTCTTCTTTGCTTTTTTGTTTTGTTTTGTTTTTTAACACTGATCAGATATGCATATGTTAAGGGTGTAGACACTGATCAGCTGCAACATTAAAACCACTGATGGGCGGAGTAAATATTGAGTCCAGTATGTTCTAATTGTGTTTTGGGTTCTGACATTTATGAGGTACATAACATTCCTTGCTTGATGATTCTGCTAAAACAAGACTGATTAGACTCTAAATTAGAAGAAACGAGAATAGGTCATAGAAAAAATGTTTGAACGTTTTTAAAAATCTGAGTTTTCTGCATGTTATTGCTGCTTGGGGCGTTCTCATAAACCGAACAATTCAGAGATGCATGAGAAATGTGCGGTCATTATGTCGTGCATGCCTTTCCTTTAACGAGACCATGCAGTGCAGGCTGGAAATTTAGAAGGGGGGGGGGGGAAAAGTGCCAAAGATGCTCATGAGTTGCGTACAGATGCCTCAGATTAGTGGAAAGGGGCTATAGCCATCCACCAACCACCTGAACCAGCCCATCTCTGACACCCAAGGCAAAAATTCTCAGGAACACTTCAGTAAACTGCTTCCAAACTTCCCAGATCCCAATCTAATCAGTCATCCCTGGGGAGCACAGGTATGACCTGATCCACCAGGGGTTTGCCCTCATTGTATGATGCCAGATAGAACAGGACACCCAAGGGTCCTGTCTCCATTCTCAATACACTACAGCAGGTTTGGTGGTGTGACGGAGACCTGCCAACAGTATTGGGACGGTGGTTCTTATGTTGTGGCTGATTCTTGTTAACACGGATAAACTCCATTACGGTCTCTTTCTGGGGAAAGTTTGGAAACGTCAACACGGGTTCTGGTGGGTTTGGGATTCAGCGTTTCGGGTTGTGTAGTTACAATCATGCTGCTGTCATCACAAGTTTAAGTCATGTAGGAAGGCGAGCGTTAACTGGTAGCAAAACCACACGTCACCTGCAATGTGGCCACTTGACGCCATTAATTGCCAGTGCCAATACAGACCTACTCAATGCCCAATATTTATTTGTGCCTTTTATTTTCTTCTCTCCACAGAAATGTATGTTGTAAAATGGGTGCAATGATGAGTATGAATGTGTAATATTGAAGTAGAGTGCAAATTGTACCTGCTTCTTCAAAGGTGTGCATTAACTTGGTTGGTTTGGGGGCGGCATAAATTTAAAACTGTGCCAGAAGCATCAAGAAGTTCTGTTAAATCTTATTCTTGAAAGAAAATCCTAAATCATGCTGGCGCTGTTACGCAGTGCTCAGAGGGAAGATGCACGCTTCTGTCAGCCAGGAGTGCTTTAAGTCACGAGTGATCAATAAGAGTTAAGTATGGATTTTTATAATGGTAACACCTGGTTCGGGAAAAAGCCTTTTTAAATATTTGAAAAGGCCCTTTTTCTCCCCTCCTTCCCATTTATTTTCAGTAGTTTTGAATCTTCAAATCAGTCTGGTTATCTCAGCTGTAGCTCGACAGGACTCATCTCCATCTTCGAGTGTAAATAGGATCGTTTTGGGGAAATGTGTCACAGAAAGCTTTATTTTTATGAACACTGACGTGTTTGAAGAGAGACTGCAGGTTTAATGTTATTTTTGTAAATACATTGTGGCAATATGTGTAGGTCAGAGAAACTTTGTAACGGATCAACATGTACTGTAAATGTGCAAGCATGAGAAACTACACTTCAGCAGTATGAATGTTGTTTGTTTTTTTTGTTTTCTTTTACTTTTTCTATTTTTCTGGCTGCAGAAAAATAAAGAGACACTGAATGTACTGTAAGCCATGTTTTTCTTTTTTTGAGGGGGGTGGGGGTTTTCATGCGTGTTAGGGGTAAAGAGTAAGATCAAACTTACTAGGCTAGATGCTCCACGACGTGAACTCTCACAAGACGTATTGATCCTGGAGCGGTCGATATTGAAGCTCAACTCAGCTGTATTTTTATAGCATTTTTCATGCGCACATTTCTAGTGCTTCCTCTAGAAAATTTAATAATGCAAAAAATGTAAGCTTAAAAATGCTAACATCAAAATGAGACAGCGGTAAGTAAATAAATACAAACTTTCAGCCCCAAAAAATGTTAAAAATGCACCAATAAAACCGGATTTTAAAAAATGTATTTAGTAGGCTTTGAATGTAATTACAGGAACTGAAGAAATACAGTTCAGTGTGAAAAATAAGTTGGACAAAAGTAATAAAATGGTGTAAAAATGCTTTTCATTAAATAGTTTGAGTCCTTGCATTCTGATTTAAAAAAAAAAAGATTTTAATTATTTGTGTATTTAAATATATTTAGATTAGCAGTAAAACTTGCCCCTGAGAAAATGTGTGCGCTCCGATTTGGACACAGGCCTTTGGCACTATGCAAACACATGATCACCTGACCTCTCACACATTTCACAATAGACCGATGTTAGCTCTCAAAAACACTGTTGCAATAGTGTCCCAATTTTAACACCCACACCCCTCCAGTGAACCTAAACCCTGAAGTGCAGCATTCAAAGTTGGTGTGCTACACATGAGGACGATGCACTCGCCGGCCACCTTGGATTGCTTGGACCCCCTTTTTTGCCTTTAGAACTGCTTTAGTTCTATATGGCACAGATTCGACACAGTGCTGAAAAACATTCCTGTGAGACTTTGGTCAATACTGATATTATGACTGCATTCTCCGTGAAACCTAAAGATGATTGTGTTGGGGAAAATCCTAGAAGGTCAGCGATTTCTGAAAGCAGCCCAACTGGCTCCCAACAAAGATGCCAAGCTCAAAGTCGCTTAAATCATCTTTCTTCCTCATTCTGATGCTCGGTTTGAACTTCAGCAGGGCTTTTTGATCACATCTACATGAATAAATGCATTGAGGTACTCTACTGTGTGTAGCGTTTACTTACTTGTACACTTTAAAGAAATAAGTAGTTAATAATATCAGTGTCTTGTTTCCTCCTTAAATGAGATTTAGATTCCTGTCTCTCAGATTATTTTTCCTCTTCTTCAGCAAATGTTTCACTGACCACAAACAGCTGAACTTCCCCAGTGCTGGCTGCTGTTGAGGTTCCAGCACTGGGGCCTTTTCTCTTTGTGGCACGCTGCCCTGAGGATATTTTAGAGCAGGGATAGGCAGCCATATGTGCCAGAGTGTGGCCGGAAAAGGATGACTCGTTTTAAAACACAATTTTAACACCCCAGCAGGTGGTGGTCCTCCCTGTATATGTGACCCACTTGGTAAAATCAGCTGCCATTTTTCTTGTAGATGAAGAAACTGTCTGCAGACACACATGTCACAAACCCACCGTTGCCTGTGCTGGAAGCTAGTTGAACATATGTGCTGCAGCCACAAGGTGACACTGTAGTACAAATCTCTGGCAGCACGAGGCTTCACGTCGTATTTCCACAGTTGATCCCATCCTGGTATGAACAGGACCTCCTCTGCCTCATTCAATATTTACATTCCAATAACAGATTAATGATTTCCACACTGTCTATTTTTATATATTTATTTTATTTTATTTTTTTACCTCTTTTGAGGAAGTGGCTTGATTTCAGCAGGAAGTTTTAATGGTTGCCTCTAAATGAGGCAAAGGTATCATGTGTGGATCTGATGGACTTCGAAATGAAGGGTAAAGCTGGACCAGACTTAATCCAGACAATCTGCTTTGATCTCCCAATCTCCCCTGTGATATCCAGCTCTGGGAAAGCCTCCTTTACACCTTGTAGCCCTAAAGCAGAAGAGGCACAAGGGCTTCACCATCCTCCCCCTCCTCTTCTCACTGCCCATCTTTCTCCCCTTCTTTACACTCACACACACACACATATTCACCATCCACACCCACACTGGACTCTCTTTTGAAAGTCTAGGACTTGATTTAAAATTCCTCTTCAGAGCATGTCATGCATTTTATATGCATGGCGAGCGGGAAAGAGAGAGGAGGGATTGTGGGGGTTTGTGAGGAGGGGGTTTCGGGGGATGATGGGGCGGGTGGGGGCATCCAACCCAAATGAACTTCCCTCCGCTGTTGCCTTCCTCAGGGATATATCTGTACACACCACCATCACCGCTCTCTTTTGCTCCTCGCCCCTCATTTTCTCGCGCCCACTCAACTCTTTCAACATTAGTTTTACTGCATAATGCTTTTCACAAATTCCACCGAACAGCCCGGGCGCCGTAGCCTTTGAAGACAAGTGTGATCAGAACAGAGGCAGGGGGTGTACAAAAACCTGGCCGCAGGGCATTTGGGGTTTTTGCACTCGTGTTTAGCGGCGTATGGAGCAGAGGAGGGAGGCTGACAACTGCAGTGTTTGGGGACAGCTTTGATGTCTGATGGGGTGCGGCTGCTGCTTCTTCTGCACAGTCCTTCACAAGGAGACTGTCACGTTGACACAGCCAGGCTTTATGCAGAGCAGAGCTGAGCAGAGCCGTGATGGATAACAGATAATCAAAAGAGCACGGCCGGGGCGGCTGCTCTTCACCTAAAACATCTCTCTTATTCTGTTTGCTGACTGGCTCCGACACCAAGACAGGAATCAATAAGACACCAAAGCAGCATCAACTCGGACTTCTGCATCTGCTGGAGAAAAATCTGGTTTATTAGGAACAATATGATCCCACTAGCTTATCGTGGATATAGCAGTAAACAACAGAAACACAATTCACTTTTCTTTTTTTTTCCTTTTTCTTTTAAGTGCTACAGTTTTGCGATTATAGACATAAAACAGCACGGAAACCATAGTGCTACATTCATATATGCACAGAGTATAAAAATTACAGTATATTGCTGTTAAAGTCTTCCTATTCTTGCTCATAGCACCCTCAGTTTCTTACACACACACACACACACACACACTCATACACACACGCTCATACACACATCACAAATCACACTGTGAGCTGTTGTAATGAAAACTGGGTGGTTTTAACGTGAGAGCTGAGACACGGTTTAGGTCTGGTAGGTCAACATTTTTTACAGATAAGCACTGAGTTATCATTGGAGCACAAGGCTGACAAAAGTTAGGCTAATATAGTACAGTAACACAAGACAAACCCTCCACAGAGAGATCACAAAACCTCACTGGACAGACTCTCAGTGAACTGAAGCAAAGTGTTTTCTCCTTTTAGCTATTATGTATTTTTTTCTTCATTTTTTTTTCCTTTTGAAATGAAAGATTAATACAAGTTAACTTTGGTTTCCAGCTCTCTAGGATACTATACTGAAAAATTGTGGCAGTTTAAGCTGTGAGTAAAATCAACAGTATAGCAGCCTTAAGCCGATGATAATACAAAACGGGGGGGGGTCACTTTTTAAAACATGTCTTTTTTTTTCTTGTTATAATAGCAGCCAGGAAATAACATTGTTACAGTGTGATTCCTTAGAAGAAACTGTTAAAAATCTGTGATCTGGTACCTCTGAATAAATAGAAAAATGCTACCTCTTTGTTGCTATTTCTTGCCTGTTCTGTTATAAATATGGTTACGCGTAGCAGATATGCATTGTGTTAAGACATCGTGTCTTTCATCCATGCAACGACAAAGAAGCTGAAGAGTTTTAGTGATAGAGAAATTTAAAGAAAAAAAAGAAAAGAAAAGGTTTTCCACAAGTGACTTGCTGTACAACGCAGTATTTTGGAGGCCTTGAGTGCTTCCAAATTTTCAGTCGGACTGTAACACAAGACAAACATCGATTACAAAAACAGGCTGAAAGGAACCAATCAATGATTTGGGATGCATTTGCAGGCTGGAGAGAGGGGACATCTCAGGTTTCACACATGGGACCCCCTGGCTTTGCTGCTGGCATCTCCTCAGTCATTTGCGAGAAACTGTCTTCGGTTCAGAGTTCATTCTGTGGCAATACCGAGCCACTGTGAGACCTCAGCCGGGGCGAGGTCTGAAACCTGAGCGAGCCCATTCGACAGTAAAAGCAAATTTAAAAAATAAACGATGTCGTGTGCTAATAGTACGAGCTGTGATTATTTATAATTTGTAGGGCAGTGATTTTAGAAAAGGAGTGTGTCAGGAATGCACTCTTAAAACTGTTTATGCAGCAGGAACCCTACTACAGGGTTTATTCTACTTCTGCCTCTTTCTTTTATGCTGTGCTGCACATCTCTCGTTCATCTTTCAGGCTTCTTTTGCATATTTTTTTCTAAAACACTCCACATGCAAACTATTCGATTCGGTTTGCTGCAAAAGTTTAAACCCAACACAGGAGCTTTCAAAGCGCTGCAAAAGAGCTCAGTCTTCTAGCAGCCTGTCCTCCATCACAGGCCAGGGAGAGCATAATGGAGCAGTGTGTGCTCAGAGTTCACTGGAGCGGTCTGAGGGGTGAAAGCAGTAGACACACACTGCGCTGGTTGTAGCGAGCTGTTTCCATTACACATTCTAAGCAGCTGCTGTTTGGAGGAAGTCCTTTGAAAGACGGCTTATGGGGGTAACTGGAGTCCACAGTTCAAATGGGGTCGTTCACCCTAACGAGCCGGGGTCGAGGCTGAGGCCTCGCCCTCCCTGGCATCATCGTCACCATCATCCTTGCACCCCCCCACCCTACATCTTACCGCCACCACTACCACCACGAAGGCCTCCAAACCGAGGACCTACACATGCGACGTCTAAACTAACACTCAACGTTCATGCTATAACTCCTAGAGAAGCAGGACGAGCAAAAAGAAACTGAAAAAAAGCAAAGGCAAAAACATGCACTCCTCGTTTCTCCGCTGTTGTAGTCAGCTTAGTGCGATTCCATCTAAAATGCATCCTTTGCTCTGTGGGTTTCGCCTCTGGTTTCTTCAGTTGTTTTGATTTGTGAATGTTTTGACACGAAGAGGCAGGGAAGAGGGAGTTTTTTCTGAGAGAGGCTTTGAAGAGATTCAGAAGAGTCTGAAGGTTGTCTCTGAGGGGTCAGGGGCATCTTTAAAAAAGGTGCAGGGAGGGGGGAAAGAAGGAGAGGCACCAGGAAAAAGAGGAGGAAGATGCTGAGATGAAAAAAGTCGAGCTGATTGAAAAGAGGCCTTGTTCACTTTTGTGTAAGGTATGCTCCGATGGTGAGGCTGGCCGCTCCGAGCGCAGCCAAGCCGAAAACTGTCTTGATGGAGGGCCAGGAGCAACTGAAGACGGAGTCCCTCTGTCTGTCGTACAGCTCCACAAATGCATCCTGAGATGAGAGACAGAGACAACTGATTAGGCTTCTGAATAACATGGTTACCTTCGCATGAATACTTTTCAAGTTCTTAAATAAGGTTTGCATCTCATAGTTCTTAAAGGAGACATGAGTCACAAATAAATCATTCTACCTTAAAAGAAGGGTCAGCAACTGCCTTAAACAGCCGGTCAGTGCAGGTTTTAACCGAACGCTGCTCAAACAGGGGTTAACCCTGCATTTGATGAGGACTATTTTTAGCAGTCGCCTGAAAGACATCGATTGACTGATATGTGGAAGTCCACGTGAAGCTGTCTTAAAATAATCTACAGCTTTCATGCTAGCAGCAATATGGATTGGTATTTATATAGCGCTTTTCTACTCTAATTGAGCACTCAAAGCAGTTTTTATGACAGCCATCATTCACTCTATCGTATAGCACTGCCTAAGTGCCTATTCTAACATTCACACTCCAATGAGTGCATCAGGGCTAACTCAGGGTTCAGTATCTTCCCCGAGGATGCTTCAGCATGCTCTGCAGTTTATTCGGGATTATCTAATCGTTTCTTTACAAGAAAAAGTTGTGGGTAAGAGGCACAAACAAATAAGGCATACTTGAAGGTTGGCTACACACGCATCACTTAAAGGAATAATTCACTGTTGTCTTTGATCTTCTTCCTGGAATTTGTGTGATTACAAGAAAAACACAAAACACTGCAGGCCATATTTAATATCTCATTTTCCTGCCTGTAGTTTTGGTTTCATTTGTTTTAATAATAAGATAAGTTTCATTCACTTCCATGTATTGAACATAGATTTTATAGGAAAAAAACCCTGGTAAATATGATTTTTTTTCTAATTTGGGTGAAATGACCCTTTAAAATGTAAATCTATTGGCTGATACCAAACATGGGTGGGAAAAGAATGTCATTACACTTATGCTGCAGGCAGATCCACTACTGTTCATCGGCTCTCACACCCTCCTACGCTTTTCATGCACAATGACACAACCCACTCGGAAACACATACTACCCAAACACAGGAATCACCCAAAAAGGCCCATTCGCAACATTTTTTTTCTTTCTCTAGCACGCGGATGAACACTCCAGTGCTCAAGCACGAATATATTAAAGCTGCTCACGGTGTCTCAGTGGGTTCAGCTTTCTGCCGCTAAGAGGAGTTTTAAAGGAGGCCAGTTAAAAACGTGAGCGTACACGAGGAGCATCTGTGCAGAAAAGACCGTGGCTGCGTGTCTTAGATGAGGAAATACAGACATCTGCTTAAAAGCGGTGACAGCAGGAACAGCTGGACAGGAAGTAATGGTGCTAAGCTAAATGCTCTCCCACACACAGACAGACACACACACACGCACACACAGCAGATTATCTTGAACCAAACGACAATAGAGGAAATTTTAGGGAGCTCTAGGGGACACCTCCTATTGAATATTTTTCTTTTGTTATGAGGCTGACCACATTAGAAGGTGTGTTGTGAAGCTGTACATCTGATCTCCTTTGAAGTCTCCATCTCTTGAAGTCTCTATCTGTAATTTGATCAGATCTGTGAACAATGGTGAATTGTTAAGTTTGATTCACTACAACATTATTGTGTCAGTTCCCATGGGGATCTATTACCAGTCTATTTTAATCTGTCTGGTTTTAAGTCAATTTACCTACAGTAATTATGCTTTGTGTTACTTTTATCGGAATACATGTTTTTTTGACCTTGATCTAGTAGAAGATTCATTATACTCTCTTTCGCTAGTGTCACGTTTTAATACACAGCTTCCTTTTTATCAAACAAAAAGCCCACACAGGACTAAAAAAAGGAGGCATCTATTCTGAACTGCTGTACGGAGACAAAAGCATTTCCTGCTTCCCTTCCTGTCCTGTGGCATTCCTGAGGCTGGGGGCTGGTGACAGAGGGGAGGAAGGATCAGCAGTTTTTTTTCTGGGCCCTCTGATGTCAAAACACGCTGTGCTCCGTAAATCACCCGGCAATATCTTTTACCACACAGCATTCTCTTTGTTGCAGCTGGGCGTTTTAAACTACACCCCCGGGGTAGAGACAGTAGTCTAGGGGAATGCTAACAGCTCGGTGAAACTGTAAGGCTCTTATAAATTAGCTAAATGCTAATTTCAAAAAGTATACTCGCTCAAATTGGTAAAGCTATGGTGTGATGCTTACTGGCTGAATCACACTAGAGTGAAATCAGAATGGCACGCAGAATGCATGTGTTGGAAAAATGTACTTTTAAAAGTACTTTTATTGCACCATGTTCATTTATTCATGAGCTGCTGTAACAGGATTCAAATGGCTGAATTGCCACCTCCGCATGCAGTCAAGTTCTATAGTCTTGCTAATGACCTACTAATTTTATTCAGGTGTGTTGCAGCAGGGACACATGTAAAAGCTTGAAGACACCAGCCCTTAAGGACTGGAGTTTGACACTAGAGGCTCAGAGTTTAGCACCCTAAACTGACCTCTTTAGATTGCTAGGGGATTGCTTAGATTGCTTGGTTGGAAACAAATTGTCCCCAGACAATTGTAGTCTCACTCAACAGACTGGTGAAGGTTTGCTAATTATTTATAATCCCAGACAAATTGCCAACAGGTAGGAATCAGTCTGAGATTAGTCTGTGGTGCTGAGCGCAATTTATCTGTGATGCGTCTCTTTGCAATAGGGAACTCGACTCAGCTGGTTTTCAACTGGTTGTATTCAAAGTTGCCAAATGCCAACTGACTCGGAGTAGTCACAGACCTGCTCACCATCTTTAAAGCAAATATTTCAAAGGCAACAAGATTGCAAGTTCAGTGCAAATAGTCACAATAATTTTAGTCATGCCACGTTCTCCGACTGCTGTTTTCCCAAGTGTGACCGTAGCATAACCATCTAACGCCAGGCTGTTAACATAAAGTAGAGCTGAAGCTGGTTTTCCAGGTTTTCACCAAACAGAAACAGAAATATTAAGGCTTAAATTTAAGGCATGGCTGCTGCAGATAACACACCAATGCAAGCAGTCTGAAAATTATTTTGGCTTGCTGTGCTATTAATTCATTAATTTGACTGTATAGTCACTTAGCAGCAGGTACCTAACACACCCAAATAGTCCATACTTGCACTTTGCTAAGCTAGCTTGCTAGAATAAACTTCTTACTTCTCACCTATTCACCCTGTCATCCAAATACAATGAAACAATCAGCTCCAAACACACAAACAACGACACACAAAACAAGATGGTGGCAGTCATAGTGTTAAAATCGAGCTATGTCCATCTTTCACATACAGTCCATGTAATCTATGTAATCCAAAACTCTGTGTCCATCTATCCTGTAAGTGTTGACACATTTCTCCTCTGGGCATCATGAGTATCTGTCCTAAATTTCATGGCAGTCCATGCAAATGTTTTTGAGATATTTCAGTCTGGGCTAAAGCAGTGTACCAACTGCCGCCATCATCCCTGGAGCCTTGCTGGTAGTGTGGAAAGCAAAATGTCAGGGAGCATTTTTTATTTTGGAGCGCTCTGAACAGTCTCTGCTTTTGAACGATGACACCCGTCTCCCTCTCCAGGATACAGGTATTAATAAGCGAGCAAGCTCTTCAGTCACACCTCTAAGCCGAAGGAAATGTGCTGATTGGCAAAAACACCATTGTGTGTTTTTCCTCACCTACGCCTGGAAAATAACAGTTTGCTGAAACTGTAACTCCAGCCAGCAGCAAGGCGCGCATGTGACCAGCCACTAGCAAAGCTCAACAAAATGGCAAACTCATGATGTGTGTCCTTGATATGTCCCAGACAGTCGCCATAGATTATCATCTATTTAAGTCTGAAACAAAAGCTGGCAATTATAATAAGAGGTTCATACGAGCTGTGATGGATGTTTAAAAGAATCCCACAAGGGCATGGGTGGTAATAACTCCAGGTTGACTCAGGGGAGAGCTGGAAAGCAGGAGGGGGGTGGGGGTGTCAGGTGGATATCATGAGACTGAGGCATGCTCCACTTCAGCTCCTGGAACTTTTTCATCCCTGCATTAGCGAACAGCGCTGCCACAAACATGTGAGCAGTGTGGAAAAACAAACCTTGGCACTTTGTGTTTTGGCCCCATTTCTGTTGTTGTGTTGACTGTCATTCTGAAAAGCGGAGTCTTTACAGAAAAATAATGATAAGCAGGTGGGAAAGAGGACACAGGAAGTTGACAGGGACAAGAGAGCACAAAAAAACACGGCCAACAAAAGACTTCATAATCCCCAAAAGCTCATATTTGCCCCGCAGCAAAGCCATCTGCCATCAGCAGCAGGTGTGCATCTGGGAAATAAAAGTCCAGGCTGCAGTTCTCTACAGTATTAATTTTTTCGATCAGTGGCTTTTAAAAGGTCACCCCCAGCCTACAGAGACCCTGGAGTCAATGGGAAAATGCCTAGCCAGGTTTACACACACCCTGCCTTCATTTTTACTGCAAACAATGAATCCTGTTGAGAATTACATACAGAGCAAAAGAGTTCGACTGAGCGGTGAGGACTTGAGTCTCCCATATGCAGCAGAGGGGTGGCGACTGACTGCATGAGTGTCACGGTTACCCAGGCTGGAAGCTTCACACACAATTTGCTTTTCCCACCAGCGGGAGAGAGTCTATCCTCGACCTCTGATTTGTTTTTCACATGATTTACACCTCTGGGTTTTGCTCAGTGTCTTTCTCATGGACACAAAGAGATTTTACACAGCTGTCTTCTTCGGATGGCTTTACGTTATCTTATGGGCAACGGGAAATACCAAACATTTGCCAGATCCTTTGGGTATCACACCCCACACACTGACACAAACTTTTGGGAACGATCCTGCAGCTTCTGTGGAAGATAATGAGTGATCTTGTGCGCTTGACTAGCTCCGATAAAACCGCAAGCAGCACTTTGCCAAAACAGAATAATGATTAGGCAACTGTCTCTGTTTTGGGAATCTTCTCTGGATAATTGCGGGCAGACTGTGACTGAGAGAAAGGGATGTAGGTTAAAGTT